ACACTGGGCCTCCTTCTTCACCATGACAGGACAGGAGACACTGGTTGGTCTTCAACTAGCAGTTGAATGCTCCAGACCTTAAGTGACAGGTATCACTTCAGCTCACTCCTATTGGCCAGAAAAGGCACTTGCCCTACCTAATGGCCAGGGGTGAGGAAGTGTCAAAAAGGAGAGGAGAGCCAGATGCTGGTGACAACGTGTCTCCTCTGCCAGTGGGGTCAGTGTGGTGTCCAGAACTTGGAGCTGTGGGCCAGTGGCGGAGCCACCACAGAGACCGAATGTCTGATCAGGCATGGGGTGCCAGCACAGGGCTGGGGTTCAGGGCAAGGGATGGTGGTGAGATTTTGGTGTTTGAGATGACACAGGGCCCTTGAGGTAAGGATGGGATTAGAACCACAATCTGAAAGAACTAAGGACTGATGGTGGGAAAGGGGACCCATCTTTGCCAAGGTGAGCATTGCAGTGTGCAGCATGGCTATGGGTGGGAGGAGACTGAGGATTGTGGGCCATAAGGAGTACAGAGATCTGATGCAAAGGGCCCTGAGAAGCACCGTGAGAGGAAGGCGGAGAAATAGACCTGAATGTCAGAAATCACAGGAGAGCAGGAGGGGACCAGCAGCATCATGTGCCCAAAAAAGGTGGAGAAGGCTTGGACTTGGGGAGGCCACTGGTGACCTTATCTGACAGTTCTAGAGGCTCCGGGCAAGTGTAGATCTGTCTGTCTGTCTGGAGACTGGATTTGGTGAGCAGATCACAGGGTGATCAGAAGCGAGTCAGTAGAAGGAATAGAGGCAGCAGATGTAGACTGCTCTTTAGAGAGCTTTGGCTGTGAAAACTGGAGATTGGGGAAGGAAAGTGGGGTGTAGACAGAAGGAGGAGCCGGAGAGGGAAGCACAGTTCAGATACTGAATACTGGGAGTACTGGACGCTGGGAGTACTGAGCGTCAGCATAGGGGACAGTGTGAGGGAGGATGTGGGAGAGGAGTGATCAGTTCCAGGACTAAGGACCAGTGGACGTTATAGAAATGTAAGGAATTTCTAGGCCTTCACTGTACGCAAGACCCCAGGCACCCTTCCCTCCATTTCCTCTCCTAAGATTCGAATACTTGGAGATGAACTAGCCATGCCACATGCCCCTGCCAGCCCCTCCCTCCAGTCAGCACTCTGCAGAGCCCCACACTCCAGTGTTGTTCCCCATGGGGCTCCTGGGTTACCCCAGAAGTACCACAAATGCCATTTCCCTTCCAGTCTGCCTGGTCCCCTGCTCACTTTGTGCTTGGGGTCCCCGGGAGCCAGGACTTGGTGCTGTTTTCTCTTTGGTCCTGGGCCCCACCCCAGGGTTCAGCCCCATCCCAGTCTCTCTCTGAGTTCTTAAACAGTTCATTGGCAGGGCCTGCTCCCCTGGGGGGCAGTGAGAAACACGCGTGCTGGCGTGTGCAAACCAAGTCTTCTGTTCTCCTAGAGGTCATTGAAAAGATTCTGTGTCCGTGAGGGCAGTGTGAAGAGAGGCCCAGGAAAACAGGAAGGCCGGCCTGAGCCGACCTAGCCGAGGGCTGCGCTTGGGCCGCAGAGCCTGGAGCGCGCCTGCCCCTGTTTACCGTCGGTCTCCGCTGTGTTTGCCTAGCCTCTACTGGGGTCCTCCTGGAAGGGGCTCTCAGATAGAAACCTCAGTGCTTTTCTGGACCAATACAAAATCAAACAGAGGCAAATACCACATTTATTTTTCTTGTGGACACATGAGCTCACTTTCTGAAGTTCTTTCGGGAGGATGTCCCGGGTGGGCTATGTGCCCAGGTGACGGGGCCCAGAGGGCAGCGCGGGGTGATGAGATGGGAGGGTTCTGGGCCAGATGGGAGAGCAGGGCCCAGGAGGACCCAGGGAGGCTGCTCTCTGAATTATTCAGAACCGTGTCCAGGTAAAGGCCTGGCCGTTGCCTGCCTTCAGCACCTTCTCCAGGGTGACCTTGAAAAAGAAAAACTGGATCCCGCTAAAATCACCCCACTACTTCACCATCCCACTGGGAATAAAACCCAAACCCCTTACCATTGGCCATCAGGGGAAGGCTGATTCCCCTTCCCGGAATGTTACTTTTATATGCACAAAATAAAATACCCCGGGTTACACAGACACCTCTTTTCAAATAGTTATTAAATATTAACAAAAAGTT